CCTGGAGTGCCTGGGAGCTCCAGGAGCCCCTTGGAACAGGGCAGGCTCTGGGAGGCTGCCAAAGGAGGCTGGTGCTTGCAATTCTAACAACTGAATCAAGGCAGGAGAGCACCTTACTTGCACGGTTTTGTAACAGGAGAATCCTTTGGGGTATCTGACCTTTGTCTTGGTGGTGGTTTTCTTCTTACAGAAAATATTAGAGACAAGAACAAACCTCAAACCTCATCTCATGTGTATCGTCACACTCTGAAAAAGAACGAGGTGGAAGATGACAATGCTGCAGATGTGGAAGTGTCTGAGCTGGAGAAATGCAGAGAACATCTGAATTCCATACTTGCCCATTGGGATCCTGTTTTCCCAGCACCACCCTCCACACAAGGAGGGGAGACCCTCAGACCCAGTGAACCTGAGGCTGAGGCGGTGGCTGTCACCTGTGCATCCACTCATGTTGTCACGAAGTGGCTGCTGAGGTCCCTGGCTGGGCAGAGCCTCCTCAGGGAGCAGGATGTGTCACCAGCGTTGAGGTGGCTGCGGAACCGTGTCCTACCGCACCTGGCAGCCACGCAGGAGATGCTCAGGGATGAGACAGCAAGGAACAACCTCTTCAAGCTTTACAGCAGGCTCTGCCAGGCTAGCAGCACCTCAGCTGGGCTCTCCAGGGAGCTCGGGGTGCTCAGCTCCATCATGCTCCAGCTCATGGAGGAACAGGGCCTGTCCAGCACCTTCCACAAGCTTGTGAAATCCCTGTGCCTGTCAGCAACGATGGAAGAGGATGCGGACAAGACAGGTGGCTTGTCTCGTTCTTGTCACTCGTGTTACAAGGCAGTAGTGGGAGGAACTAGGAAATTCCAGGACTTTTTGAATCCATTTAACTAGTTTTTCCATATCCGCCCAGGCTCATGGCTTCCCAAAACAGAAGCTGTGTCTTTGGTGGGATGTGGGCAGGGGTGGGCAGCACAGATCATGGTCACACTGAGGTTTTCTGACACTACAACACTCACACTCCCTCTAAGAAACGTCCCTTTCAAGGGCTAAAATGGAACAAAAGGTATAAAAAAATACAATTCCAAGAGGGAGAATAGTCTGCAAAAAACAAGTCCACATGGGCCTGGCTGCTGACCCCTATTGCTGGTCAAGGATAGCATCTGGCAGGTCAGATTTCCAACTGATTTTCAGATTTAACAGGAAACTGGTTTGTTCTTTCTTGTGAGTAGGATCATTTGTTTGTATGGGCAAAGGCACTCCAGATTTTCCATCTAGGTAAAGAGCTGGGGAACTATTTTAAAACATAGTCCTGGAGGTAAACAGCTTGGCTTGGTATTGCTGTGTGGAAATAGAAGAATATCTGTTCTGATTTTTCTCTCATCTTTCTTCCACAGCTGTTTCTGTATTCCTGACTTCCGTTTACATTGGGGACATGTGGCTAGGAGCACAGGAGCCGGATATGTTACTTACCCATGTCAGATTGGTCTGCACTAATGCAGGTTATGAATTACAGGATGACTTGGGAACTCGGAAACAAGGACAGGAAACTATTATGTCTCTTTGCAAAAAAATTTGGCTACATCAGGGCATTAATTTGAGGAACTAACACTAACATTCTGCACTCTGCCATCATCACTGTGAGCCATGAAAGCCTCCTGAGCTGTTCTCATACAGACTTAACTTGTTTGGTCATAAAAACCAGTATTTTTTTACTGTGTGCAAACTCAGGGGGAAGATTTTATTCAACATCTCTCAGTGGGACATTAAAGCTCCAATTCCCTTTTCTTGAACAATCTGAAACACAGTATTATTTCTATTGTTTTCATTACAGGCATTTTTAACTTTTTGAAGAACCAGAAAGTCTGTATGTGCATGTGTGTGTCATTAATACCCATCCTCACGCCAATATAGGATGGGAAAAAAAGGATGCAGAGCTTCCTCCAGTGGGGTGTAAGTGCAAATAACAAGAGGTTTGGTCATGACGATTTACTGTTTCTTGAAGAGCCTGGTTGCATTCATCATACCACAACCAGTATGAATAGGAGCCTGAACTTGGAAATCATGATGGTCTTCTTGGGTTTAGTTTAAAAAGCTTTAGTGGCTTTTAAAGACATTTATATCAGACCTGGTTTATTTTTATTACCCTTATTTTTCTAATGAAAAAAAATAAAAACACCCTGATCCATCACTGCTGCCACGGTGTGCGACAAAGGCCCATCTTCCCTCCACTTGGAACAGGTGAGAGATGGGAATAAACCCCAAAAGATTTTCTGCTCATTGATTTTAGGTGAGTTTTCTTGGGAATTCCCTGTCAAATCTGATACATTGTTCTCGAATGTGGCCAAGAGGGTAGGTGAACATGCAGTGCCAGAAGGAGAGCTTTTGACATGTAAATCAGAATTTTTTCAGTGGACTCACAACTGCATGCTGTGCCCAGGTCCCTTGCCCAAATACTGTACAGGGAAAAACCAGAACTGTACATTCCTTGTGATATGTATTGAATTTTTGGGGGGTTAAATAAAAATGAGATTAAAATGAGGGAATTGCTACTACATGTAAATATTCTTGGCCTAAAGGAGTCATCGGCTCTGTACCAAGACTGGAGTTAAAAATTCTATTTCTTTAAAAACCCGCAAGCCCTTTAGCGGCTCCATTTTCTGTCATGCAGAATTCCTAGGGGCTGACATCAGGGAATCTGTGAGCCGAATCTGGCTCAGCCGCATGTAGCCTAGCTGGGCTCAGTGCAGCCGAGCTCGGCCGAAGCGAGCCGAGCTGTCCCGAAGAGCGGCGACATCTGCCGGTAATAGCCGATATTAGCCGAACAGCCGATAATGGTCGAGGTCTACCGATCATTACCGAGGTTACTCGAACTGACGATGATAGCCGAATGTATCCGATGATTGACGAGTTTAGCCGAAGAGCCGAAACTGCCCGAGATTTACCGAACCCAGTCGAGTTTAGCCGGCTTTAGCCGAGTTTATATAAATACATCCGAACGTAGCTGGGTTCAGACGAAACGAGCCGAGTTTGGCCGAACCAAGGCCAACCTTACGACGTCGGCCGAACCGAAGCGAGATCAACCGAATCCCTCGAGTTTGGCCGAGCCGCAGCGAGTGCAGCTGAACCGAGGCAAACCTTATGAGCTCGGCCGAATCTAACCGAGTTCTGCCGAACCCAGCCTCCAGCTCTCGTGGCCGTTAATTAGCGCGAGTGCTGTCACTGCCTAATGAACTCCTGCCCGCCCCCGCTCTCCCGTTCCTGTCCGTGCGGTGGCCGGGACGCCCGTGGGACGCGGCAGCAGGAAAACCCCGAGCTGGGTGCCTTTAACGCGAGGCGGCTCCGCTTTCCCGCGCGGCGCTTCGGCCCGGCCCGCGCCGCCCTCAGGGAGCCGAGCCGAGCTCCGCAGAGGGCGGCTCCGAGCTTCCCCGAACCGAGCCGAGGTCCGGGTAATGCAGTGGGCAGTTCCAAGTTCGGCCGAACCGAGCCGTGTTTAGCCGAGCCCAGCCAAGCTCAGCCGAACTGAAATTCTGCTGAACTATTTCCCGATGTGTAAAGTGACAAAGACTCTGCTGAATTCCAGCACACGGGCAAGAACAGCAGCTAAAGCTCCACGTGAGGTTAATTTACCCCTTGGAAGGGGCCAACATCACAAAAGGCAAGGACACGGACAGTAGGTAGGCAATATTATTTATTGTTTTCTTCCACCGCTCCTTGGGGGCTTTCTTTAAAAAAAACATTACTGACACCTTGGACGTGTCCCACAGCATTCCCAAACTTCAAACCGCTGGGATCGAACAGTGATTCCAAAACATTGCGGTGGCAAGCGCTCCGTCCCGGGAGCTGCTCTGGGTGCTCTCGTGCCCATTAATTAGCGCGAGTGCTGTCACTGCCTAATGAACTCCTGCCCGACCCCGCTCTCCCGTTCACAGCCGTGCTGAAAGGAATGAGAAGGAGATGTCTTTACAAAGAAACTGTGGGCCTGCTGGTAGATAAACTCAGATACCGACACTTGAAAGAAGTAATGAATGGAACCATAAATTCCAGAGGAATTCCGTTGCTCACCCAAGGCCGTGCTAAATTCCCGGACTTAGAGAAAAAGAACAGAGACGCAAAGAAAAACAAGGGACTGGAGGGAATGCACATTGAAAGGGGGTCTGTATTAGGCGATTCGGGAAGTTTGTACCTCTCGAGTACCTCAGCCAATGGGGAAGAGAGAGGGAAATGCGGTCGGGAAATGAGGATAAAAAGCAGACTGCGTCCTCCCAACAACCTGAGAGACCCATGGGAAATGCCCATGGCCTCTCCCTTTATTCGAATAAAGTTATAGTACTCCCCAGTTTCCTTTTTGGACATAAACCTCTGGGTTTCGTGGATCAGTTTTCCTGTCCGTGCGGTGGCCGGGCCGCCCGTGGGACGCGGCAGCAGGAAAACCTCGAGCTGGGCGCCTTTAACGTGAGGCGGCCCCGCTTTCCCGCGCGGCGCCTCGGCCCGGCCCGCGCCGCCCTCAGGGAGCCGAGCCGAGCTCCGGAGAGCGCAGAGGGCGGCTCCGAGCTCCCCCGAACCGAGTCGAGACGAGTAATTAAAAAGCAGAAACAAGCTCCCAGAGTCTCAGCAGCCGGCCCAGCACAGGTAGGCAGGTTTGGCATTTCCTTTGCTATTCTGCAAGTGTATTCAAGATATCTTTCCTCTGTGACAGGAGCAAAACCAAAAAAAAAAACATCTTACCAAACGGGATGTTTTCTTTCCAGTCTGTCACCTAGCTGAATACCACCACCTACTATCCATATTTTAAAATCAGCTGGAGAACCTGCATCCCCAACACCTGGGGACTGTCTGAGAACTCTGGCCAGCTCTGTTAATTGTTAAGCACCCCTGGAACATCAGAGAGGTTGGAGGAGGCTGGAAGAATTCCAGTGTCCCAATACCCAAAGAGACTGACCTGGTCAAGCCAGATCACTCTTAGGCAGTGCTGCGACTGGCATTGGCGCAGGCAGAATCACAGAAGTTAAGCTAAGATACAACTGAAAAAGTCTTTCTAAGGACAGGGAAGTTAATTCCAGACTGTGTTTGGACAAAAGTGCAGTGGCAATATCTGATGTCATTATTGAGGGAAGTGTGATTTGAAGGGTAAAGGCAGCTGTACATCTGTGATTTAGTGTGAGGGTGGTCATGCACCACATCCAAATACTGAATGGAGTTTCTTAGTGCAAGAGATCTGCCTGGAGCCAGCAGGGAGCCCCGGGGCCCTGGATTGAGCCTCTCCAAGAGCAAGAAACACAGATGAGGGATGAAACACACAGATCTTCCAACACCCTGGGCATCCAGCTTGGGTTTCTCTCCAACATTACACCGTCTGGTAGGAAAGTGATAGCTAGAAGATTTCACAGCCTCCAGTGAAATGCATGGGAGACCTGGAAGGAGCTCGCCCTGTCCTCTTTCCACTGCATGAATTTCCAGCCTTGGCCAGGAACTATCTCCAGCCACTAACCTTTATTTTTCTGTGTCATTTTGGATGTTAATACAGATAATTGAAGCAAATGTTAATGTTCTGCGTCCCAGTAGTGTGATCATCAGCTGCCTTGGCAGGCAAATGGGTTTGAATTCCATGGTCCCATGCTCCAGACTTTTTGTCTTGTTTCTGTGGGATAGGGCAGTGCTGACAAAAGGGACTGGGACACAGACACCTCACTTGTACAGGCATCAGCCTTCCCCCCTTTCCCGAACTCGCCCATCAAAATTGGCACCAAACCATTCGGTATTGCAGAGAAGTGTGTGGTGCAATCAGATCATGGATTCAGGTCCAGGACCTCTCAGTATCTAAGGATTAAACTGTGGCATGAGTAAACAGAGCTGTTTCATATGCCTTTTAGAAGACACTTGTTTCTGTGCAGATGTGCAGGTAAGAACAAGGCACTCTGCTGCGGAGAGCAGTGTGCCCTTGCCAAGAGAGTTAACCCTTGCTGTTTCACAGTGGGGGAAGATATGGGTGTCATGCAGAGCCAAAATTGCATCAACAATGCATCAGCAGAGGTAGAGGGGAGATTCTGCTCCTCTCCCCTGCTCAGGCAAGAGCCTACCTGCAAAGCTGCCCTAGGCCCTGGGGTCCAGCACAAGAAATATGTGGAGCTGTTGGAACAAGCCCAGAGGCAGCCAAGGCCGTGGAGATGCTCTGAAGGATAGAACTCCTCTGCTCTGGAGCCAGGCTGGGAGAGCTGGGGGTGCTCACCTGGAGAGGAGAAGGCTCCAGGGAGAGCTCAGAGCCCCTTGCAGGGCCTGAAGGGGCTCCAGGAGAGCTGGAGAGGGACTGGGGACAAGGCATGGAGGGACAGGACACAGGGAATGGCTTCCCACTGCCAGAGGGCAGGGTTGGATGGGATATTGGGGAGGAATTCTTGGCTGTGAGGGTGGAGAGGCCCTGGCACAGGTTGCCCAGAGAAGCTGACACCTCTCACCAGGACACAGCCGAGCTCAGAGAGCACACAATGTCCTGCATGTCCCTGGGCTTGGCAGAGATGGATCTGGAGCACAGAAATGACCAAGGTAAAAGTTCTCCAGCCTTGACGTGAGCGTGCATTTGTTGGGTGGGTGTGTTGGGATTATCATAAGAAAATAGACATGAGGTTTCCATACAGACACTGGATGATTGTCATGCCAAGGGCAGTGGGCGGGTGACAGAGCAGAGAGGATGACAGGGCAGGGGGGTGGAAATTTACACCATTGGCTTCTTTCTGGCACTTCACTGGGTTTAGGTGCTGGAACTGGGAGAAGTGGACTTGAAGTGGGGCTTAAAAAACAAACAGAACTCAACCGAAAAGGACAAGTTTTGTGTGTGACTGGGTTTAATAGTTTCTTCAGACCTAAAATGGTTTTCTTACAGTATGTTTCACGCCTAGAAAAATTATAAGATCAGATGGTTTCAAAGCCTAAACAAATCTAATCAAATGCTGTTTTTAATTGATGATTTCTGGGCACTTCAGAAAAATTGAAATACATGAGGGATAAATATGTGTATTTTTCACCCAAGTGTTTTGCTCGGTAACATGATGTAAAAGTGAAAAACTTTAAAAATCAATACTTTATTTAAGTCTTCCAAACACTCTGAGATTTTCGTGTACACCTACTTCTCCTGACACTTTTTTAGGAACAGGAAATTTTTGGTCACATGCCTCTGCTACCCTGCAATTTCATATCCATTTCCACATCTGTTGTGTTGTTACTCCACCTCCTGCTTTGTGGTTTATTTGAGTAAACTGCATGGTGGTTTTTTTATTGTTTTTGTTACCTCGTGTGAGCATGCCAGAGGCCCTAGGGTGCCAATAAATGAGAATATTAGTGGGTCAAGAGACCCTCCAACTAAATAATGACAGAGCAAGTATCGCTTCTGTGCAGTGATAAACATTGTGTTTCTAAACACTGGATCACTTGAGGCAGTGAATATTTCCTGCAGGTTATTTTTTCACACCAGTATCTAACTTACTTTTGCTCTGGTTATACTTACTTTGGCGTTGATCCAGAGCAGGACATACCCAGTAAAATAAGGAAAAGAAACGTCACAAATGCAGCAAGGCCGACCCAAAAGGCAATGACGATGGAGTCTGTGGACACAGCATGGTAATTCTGTCACATGCATTTTGCATGGCAAAAATAAAACACAGCAAGAAGATTTATCATCTCTAGTAAAGGTGTGCCATTTGATTCAGTTTCTTCTTTTAAAGAGAGGAATCTAAGTGCCAATTTGTTAAAGGTCTTGGGAGCCTCCTAACAGTGTATGGCAACAGGAATGAGGGAGGGGTTGGGAAAAGCCTCCGGAGGGTGTTCTGGTGACTAGAACTATGCAGATATTTGACTGTGGTTCCTTTCACACTACCACGGTGCAGGAAGCTTGAGTGTTCCTGCCCAATCCTACAGGATCTTTATGGAGAGGCCCTCAGGAAGGGAATTCCAGCCTTGAAAGCATTCTATACCAAGAGAAATAGCAAGGGAAGTTTATTGCAAAGTGTCCCATGACCCTCCCAGCACATCAGTGCAGTGACGAGATTGTGCCCCTTGTCCTATTCAGCTGCAGTGCCCCTGCAACCACCATAAAATAGTGCAAGATGTTGCCTGCTTTGCCAGGAGCAAATAGTTTATTTAAGGAACAAGAGGCTTCCCAGTGCCAAAGTGTTTTCACAGTTGGTTTAGCAGGAGGGTGAGGTGGCTGGGAGAGCAAAGGGAGCTCCTCTTTCATGAAGGCTACAGTTCTGTGCCAACTATTGCCTGAGCCTTGGGCTTACTGAGGGAGGGGATGAATCTGCTCCCACCCCCACACTACATCTGGCCACTCTTTCAAAAATGCTCCTTCCTGGATCACTGTGGTGGTGGTGGCCTTGGGAAGTTTGGGTGCTCTGCCCTGGATTCACAGCCGGTGACTGGCTTTAGAGGAGGTGGAAAAAGAAGGGTCACTGACTCCAGAGACAAATATTGACCAAGATAAAATAAATCTTCCCTCTGAAAGTACAGAAAACATTGTGTTCTTTGAAATGGGTCCAGTATGTTTGATTGTTTCCCCTGTGAAAAAGTTCAGTATGTGTTGGCATCAAAGCCACAAGGGAATTGATTAAGGGAATTAATAATTAAGGGAATTAGCCCAGCTCCTTTTCAACCCAAAACTGGAGCTTGCCCAGCTGTACCCTTATCAGAAACCTGAGTTTCGGCTGGGCTACTCAGAAATATCAGTGGGGAGGGGCAGCTTATTTTATTCTTCCTTTGCCCAGGGACGTCATTTGGAAAAGCCCAGAGTTTTGAAGTGTTCTACACCATTGGGACAGAAATTAAGAGTTTGCGTTTATAGAATTCCCTATCAGAGCTATTTTGGCTTCATCTTTTAGAAACAGTTTTAATACATTTCATGGAATTCACTGAAGCCAAATAACTTTGCTCCAGGGCTCAGGTAGAGCTTGAAACAAAATTTCCTGGGTTTAAATTCTGCAATTAGTATTTTAATTTTTTTTTTAACTGGAATAACATATTTTTATATTTTACCAATCTATAAAAAGCTTTCCTATTGCTAAATTTTACCATCACCTTTTGTGCGCATTTTTCAATTGCCTATTTTTGTTTTTAAATAGCCTATTAGTTCACGGGCCAATTAAGATTTTTCATTATTTTTGTACAAAATGGAGAGAGATGCACAACATTACAAATAGAAAGCAAGACCATGGCTTTTTATCTGGGTTTAGATTCATTTTCATGCAACAAATTCAATCTCACAAAGTTTCAGAGACCAGCCACCTAACAGAAGAAAAGAAGTGCAGAGATTCAGGTCTCTGTTTCACATTAAAAAAAATAAAAAAAACCTAGCAGGGTAAAAAACTGCATTAGGGAGCTGCAATCCCATCCCAGGGTTATGGCAACTGTTTTGATTCCCTTGGGCTGTCCCAGCAATGGCCCTGAGCACACAAAGCAAATAATCCCAGCAGCAGCTTCTTGAGATGTAAGAATATAAATATTATGCAAAGACAGGAAAACCTGCAAGTACATTCATTGCTTGACTGGTGCTTTTAGTCAAAACAAGAAAAAAACCTAACCACCTGTGGAATTGTTTCCCTTGGTGTTTTCGTTAGAACTTGTAACCCACTGTTCTCCCCCTGATATTTGGAGAAGAATAATAGTACCAAGAGGATGCTGTCTCTATTCCTCCTGGGCTGCTGACATGGAAAAATGTCTGTTTTCATCTCCTTAGAATATAAAAGCGCTTCAAAGGTGGCAGACTTCTCTACTTCTTTAGGGGGAGAGAACAAGTGGGACAGAAAAATCAACAAAAGATCAGTTTACCCTGCTTTTTAATGGAAATAAGGCTGGTGAGATCACTCATAAGCACACATGGGGTAATTTCCTCTGAAAAACTGTCAACAAATTTAAATTAAATTTAACAGAGGGTTAACATCTTGTCTCATAAGCACAGTTTCTTCAAATTTCAAGAAAACAGGCAGCTGAAGAAAAAGAAATGCCCTATCAATTGTCAGGGAAGGAAGTGCTATAACACAAATGCCACCTCTGTTATGCACCAGGTGATCCAAATGCCAGGAAAATCTTATTAAGGAGAAAACAGGGGAAAAGTTTCTTCCTGATTTTTGGGGGTTGCTTTGCCAGCCACATGCCAGGGACTTACATCTAGCTTAGCTAAGCAGTTTATGGTTTCCCTGGTGGAATTTGGGTGTAATAATCTGCCCTAACTTTAAGAGAATCAGAGGAGCAGCTCATAACTCGCCTGGTCCCAGCAGCACCAAATGTTGCTCTACAGCATTAGAGAGCAAGAGTTTCTGTATGGAAGGATGTGGATATTCACACCACTTTCTTTAAGGTGTGGTGCTCTAACATTGGAGGCAATAAACCCTCGTCTGATGCAAATGCACAGAGAAGCTTTTCTAGAGGTGGTGCAGAGTAAGTTTCTGCTCCTTTTTCCTACTGCTGTCCAAGCAAGTGAAGGACAAACAGCTCCTAACACAGGCTAATTCAACCTTCACCATCAGAAAGGCAGTTTCTTGCATTGTTAGTGAGAGAGACGTGAAGATATTCTGAAAGGCCGTCCCATTTTCCTGGAATATATAATAATTGCACTGTAATAAACTTTCCTTGGGGAAAACAGTTTTAGTCTCTGAAACCACATCTGAACAGTTGCAGCCATCTTCAGTAAACTAAACAGCAATGAGTAAAGCCCATAACTTTGTTACTTAACAGAAGGTGCAACCACAGGCAGAGGCTTGACAGAAATCAAGGGAAAGCACCACCTGCAGCAGGTACACCTCCAACACACCCTACCTGCTCTCCCTTGGTCTTTGTCAGTCTATCCACCACCCTCAGTTAATCCACCATGACTTAGCTTGTCATTTTATCCCAGCAAAACTTAACCAGGGCAGTTACATTAGAAGAACCAAAATTATTTGCCACTATAAGCAGCCATAAAAAGACTTTGCTGTTTCACTGCGCAAAGCCAGGTGTGAAATGGAACGAGCTATTGCAAGGTGAGTTGGGTGAATGCTACTTCATATCCTTTGAAAATAAACTGCAAAGCCCAGCAGAATAATTTTCCACAGCAGCAAAGCATTTTCACAAGAATGGATATTATTACTTTATTAGTTCAGCAGCACTAAATCAAAGGAGGAATGGTCAAAGAATATGTTTGTAGCTTATTGTTCCTGGCTAGTGGAAACATACATTTCCTTTACAAAAAGTCTGAATGTTTACCAGTTGCAATGTCAGCCTTGTCCCAAGATGAAAACACAGTATTTTTATGAAAACCTCTGCTCTTTCAGTGAACTTTGGTGGCAGTAATACACAGGTAACTAGCACCCCACACTACAGATTCACAAGCCATCAAATTACCCCTTTAGCAAATGACTCCAAAAAAATCTGTCCTTGTAAACAAGAATTAATGTCAGCAGTCTTAAAGCTTCAAATACTTTAAGATAAAGCCCAGAGTCAGACACCCATTCACCCAAACCATGCACTGGCATGGACTCTATTGCAAGGAAATAACCAGGTCAGTGACGCAAACTGTGCAACAATTTTCCTGTGCTAGATAGATTAGCAGCTACTCCTCCACAGTACTTACATTTATTAACCTTCAACTTGCTTCCATCTACTGGAATTGGATCTATGTAATCCCAGTAATATTCGTAAGACCAGAAATACTCAGAGGAGTTTGTTCTGTTAGTCATGTCAGTGGTGCCTTTCAAGCCAGCTCAGAACTCCGACCCACTACTTTGCTTCACTGTACTTCAGTGCCCTCAGAAAGAGAATTGCACAACTGATGCCTGTGCCAATCACTCTGGGGTCCTGCAGCTCAAGGACTGCCTCGGGACTGAAAAAAGATAGTGGCAATGAGCATTAATGTGTGGCAGAGATGAAAGAGCAGCCCTGAAAATGCAGTCCTCACTTCTTTCCAGACACTCATGTTATTCCTCAGGGTGTTTTCAAGTGAGATGGGTGTCCCATAACCTAGGGACAGGATGGACAAGTGCCAGCTGCGTCACAAGCCTTTCTCTCGGAGCAGCACACTATTCCTGAGAGCTCTTGAGCACATCTGGGCTGAGAAACATTCCTGAATGTATCTGGATGGAAAGGGCTGGGGTCTGGAGGGGCCGCACCAGGAGTGGCTGAGGGCACTTGGCCTATTCAGCCTGGAGGAGACTGAGGGAAGAGCTCACGGGCGGCTGCAGCTCCTCCCGAGAGGCAGCTCCGGTCTCTGCTCCCTGGGACAGAGACAGCAGCCACGGAAGGGCTGGAGCTCTGCCAGGGGGTGTTTATGTCGGAGGTCAAGGAAAGGTTCTTCCCCCAGAGGGTGCTGGCACGGCCCAGGCTCCCCAGGGAATGGCCACGGCCCCGAGGCTGCCAGAGCTCCGGGAGCCTTTGGACAGCGCTGCCAGGGATGCCCAGGGTGAGGTTGTTGGGAGGTCTGGGCAGGGACAGGGGCTGTCCTGGACTCTCTGAATTAGGCGTGACCTGATAAAACGCTTCATATGAAAAGGATGTACTGGAATAACCATATCCTTTGCTTCCATTCCATGACCTTACAAGCTCGAAACGCCCCCCGGGCGGTGCGGGGGCACCTCAAAGGCGGGGCGGGCGGGCAGTTCCGGGGCGCTCCCGGGACGGTTCCCGGCGTCACTGCCGCTTCCTCGGCGGGCGATTCGAAGGCGATGTCGGAGGCCGCTGCCGGTCCCTCGTCGGGCAGGCGAGACACGATGGAGCTGTGCCCGGAGCTGGAGAACTCGCTGTCGCTGCTGGAGCCGGGCGGCGGCCGGCCCGAGCAGCAGCAGCGAGAGCGGCGGGCGGGCGCGGCCTTCATGCCCATGGTGTTCATGTGCTCCGGCTGCAGGCGGCCCGTGGGCGACACCTCGAGCTGGGTTGTCAATGACGAGGAGAGCGGCTGCATCCTGCTGCGCAGTGAGTGCCAGCCCTGCCACCCGGGCGCGTCCCCGCGGTCACTGCCGCCATCCCTCCCTCCTTCCCTCCCGCTGCAGGTGCGGCCGGCAGCGTGGCCGTGGACCCGGAGCGGAAGGTCTCCAAGCTCCCCGGCGAGAGCGGATGGTGAGCGCCGGTGCTGGCTGGGCGCAGTCCCGGGGGAGTTGGGGGTTCCCGGGAAAGGCGCTGAGGATAAGGCCGGTGAAGGGCCCGTAGTGCTCGTGTGCCGCCGAGAGCGCCTGGAACAGTTCTTTGGGGTGGTCTATGCAAGCGGCTTACAGCCTAAGGGAGAGGGATTTCTCACAAGGACATGTGATGGACAAGGGGAATGGCCTTAGGATGAAGGAAGGAAGGTTTAGGTGAAGTATCAGGAAGAAATCCTTCCCTGTGAGGGTGCAGAGGCCCTGGCACAGGTTGCCCAGAGAATCTGTGGCCGCCCGTGCATCTTTGGAAGTGTCCAAGGCTGGGTTGAACAGGGTTTGGAGCAGCCTGGGACAGTGGGAGGTGTTCCTGCCCATGGCAGAGGGTGGAATGGGATGAGCTTTAAGGTCCCTTCCCCAGTTTAGTGATTCTGATGCTCTTGCTGAGGTCAGTCAGCCTGAGGGGCTGTTGCAAACTCAGGCTGAAAGATGAGTACTCATAATTCACACCGTGCAAAGCAAGAATGTATGCTTGAAAAAATTCTAATGCATGATTATTTTTAGAAAATGGATGGAGAGAGGTGCTTCCTTTTATTTTCTTCTGAAGAAATGTTATTTCTTACTTACAGCGTGGTAGAAACCTTATTCTGCTCTGGCTGCTCAAGAACACTTGGCAGCATCTACAGGTGCACCCCAAGGCATCTCGACTACAAGAGAGATTTGTTCTGTTTCAGTATTGACTCTATTGAAAGGTAAATGCAGAATGTTTATGAGTCAGTCTGCCAGCTCCACTTCACTCACCAGGCATCGCACTCAGGCTGCTCCTGTTATATCTCTGGAAAGTCTAGAGGTAGTTTTTTTCCTCTGCTCTGTCCCAGAGTGGTTTTCTGTACTGCTGCTGTTGTTATCATAGTGCTCAGTTGTGAAGAAAATTACCTGTGTAAGGAAAATCCTAGGGAAAAAAAAAAAAAAGCAAAACAAAACAACTAGGCTTGCCTTTTGTGTGAGAAATTGCATTCCAGCCAAGGAAATATCACCAGGTCCAGGGTACAGGAGGATTCCTTCTCATTTGATCGGAAGAGCAGAGAAACCAAGCGCCAAGTAGACCTGGCTGGAGCCTGTTAGGGGTCAGCATTATCAGCAGAAAGTGTGGCCAGAGTGGCTCAGGCAGAACTCGGGGTGGCTCTGACCTGTACTGGCCACATCTCCTCTGTCCTTGCTAAGGTGGGCAAAGGCAAATCTGACAACTGAGTCTGTGCTTGAGACTCTCACTCAGCTGTCTTAAAATCTGTCTAGAAAATGAAAGCATGCTTGGGTTTAGTTGGTTTATAGTACTTAAAAGTGGTCTTAAAGTATTCTTCAATAGCTATATCCTGAATTAAGGCTTCATGACAGAGTTCTTTTATGCAAGCATTGTTCTAATAGACAGCGACTGTTCATCTGGACTAGTTTTAATGTCTTTTTTTCAATGTCTTCTGGTTTTTTTTTGAAGTTCCCGTTAATCTTGTTGTATTGCTGTGAATGTTCACCCTCACACTCTGGACAGTGGTTTTGGGTTTTTTTTCTTCATTCCACAGCTATGACACTTTGTTTTTTCCATGGTAGTAAAATCCTCTGAAGCACTAACCTGGTTGCAGCCTATAGCACTTTCTTGGAGAGTAATGCTGCTTCTCCCAGCCAGCACTGCAGTGTTCTCTGTGCAATTTTTCACTGTATTCTGTAGCCCCAGAATCCATTGGTGTCTCTCAGGGTTCTGGAGGAGTGCCGTGTTTGGATTTTTAGCTTCAGAGTGGCAAGTGCATGATCTAAACTGTGGCATCTCAGCTATATTCTATATATTCTGTAGCTATATTCTATATATATTCTATAGCTATGTTCTAGGAAACCTGGAGAAGCAAGCTGATCTTCACGAGGAACCGCTTACTCTTGAAAGTCGAGCTGTCTTGCAAGAGGTGCTGCAGAAGGTGAGATATAACCTTATATCATTCTTTGTTTAAATTGCCTCTGTGAAACCTTAATATGCTTCAATAGTTTCTGCAGAACAACTTACTTCACCCAGAGCAATTCAGTGCATTGTAACATGTCGTGAATGTTAGAGTTGGGTCAGCTTTAAAAGGATGGAAGTAGCAGGGAAAGGATCATATGAAAAGAATTGGTGATGTGAGATCAGATTTGAGCCCTTTTGGACATCCACACATGCTCTTTGCGTTGTCAAATTCTGTGTGTAACCAAGTACCCTGGTTCTTTTGCAGGTCGATACAATACTGAATGCCCTGGAGACAAGACTGACCGTGATTGAGTCCCGTATGGCTACTCTGCACAGGCAGGTCTGAGAGGAAATACATCTTGAACTGTAGGAGAATGGCAAATGTGAAACTTGGCCCTGTAATCATCTGGGATCTGTGGGAACATTGCAAAGGCTGTGAGAGAGCTGAAAGCCATGGGTGGCATGTCCTGTGGGGGAGCAGTGCTGACTGAGACTGTGTCCTAGCCAAGGAATTCCTCTTCTATCCTTGAAGATGATACACCAGGGGTTTTCTTCTTAATAAAGGCTTCTGATCAGTCAACTTGTAGACTTTATTTAAATTTTTGTCTCTGAAAGCAAAGCGTTTATCTCCTGACTTCCCTGCTATCCAGTATCTACTGAACTGGGTATGCATTTTCCTAAGCAAATCAAAAACCTCCCTGTGATTCTGTAATTTCCAGAAGAACAGCATGAAGTCACTTTTTTTTTCTTGTCTCCATAGCTTTAGCTTGATTTGTGCTCAAAGGCAGGAATGACTCAATAAACTGTATGTGGTGAATTGTTAGTTTGGTGGGGGTTTGTTGCAAGTTCAGGGCTGAAATATGATGAAAGGGTTTTTTTGCACCATTAGATAAATGCTTTTCCATGAGGTGTTGAAGGTAAGTTGTTTTACATCTCCAAAGGGAGGAAACCAAACCAGGCTGATGGCAACACTCCTTTAAGCAAGGTTTGCTATATATTTGAGCAAGTAATTCAGCAGTTTTGTTGTGTTAATGCTGGTATTTCAGTTGTGTTTGGTTTTCTGGGCATTTGACTAATTGTCAGTGCTTCTCATACAGTATGAGTGTTCCATTTAGTGTTTTTCAATAAAAGCAAGCAGTTGTGGTATAAAGCAAGAATAATCTCAAAAAGTGGTTTGGGTTTTGGTTTTTTTTTCTTTGTTACCCATCACTACTTGGCTTTACAACTGTGAGCTTTAAAAAGTTTTCTCCAAAAACTGCGAATGAATTTCCCCATTCTATCCTATTTGACTCGATCTTTTCAAGTGTGGCCCGGCTAGCTCAGTGATGAGGTTTCTCTTCACTCGAGTTTCGAGCCAGCATATGTTTGTGGGGTTCACTGATTTTCTTCAAGAATCCAAGTCTATAGAGCGAGTAAAGAAATCAGGGGGGGACTCTCTCTCTGGTTTGCATTCCACAGTTTATTTCTGTGAAGGGGAATCCAAAGAACGAGAGACCAAGGATTTGGGGTCTGGGGGGGTCTCTTTTAACAGGGTTTCTCAGAGGGAGGGAACATCAGAGAGGGAACCAATTATTTTTCTCAGTTAGTACATCTTACAAACTTTCTACAAATCAAGGTTACACACACCAAGATAAGAAATAACAGACACCAACTTCTTCAAATGCCCACAAAGATGTAGGAGTATTCTATACAGAGGGGCAGAGGGGGAGAGAGGGGGGGCTTGGTTTCCTGGCAACACAGGGGGGAAAGAAAGGGAAGGCAAGGTAAGCATGCCTTCTCAGCTTCCATAGTTTAGAGGCATTCTGGGACAGGAAAAAGTTACAAACTTCCGTGTTGGAAAAAAGGGTTCTCTTCTCTCAACCCCGTGCCTTCCTGGGCTAAAGAAACTTCAAGCAACTGGAAATGCCAGCGGGGTCCTCTCTTTACTCTATCCGGCCTCTCGCCGTGAGGCTGAGGAGAGAAACTTCAGTAACCATGGTAACTTGACGCCAGGTAAACAGGAGAAAGAGAAGCTGGGGGTGGGGGGAAAATCACAACTAAAAGATGGGAAAAGATACATTTCAGGCTATCAACTACAACACTATTGGTTAGGCGTTGCTTCTCTTGGAAAAGCTTCTACCTTCACTGCCCTGTTTTGAAGTCGTGCTCCAGTTCAGCCTGTTGTGATGGGTCTTTCTTACATCCTTTTCTGTTCAGCATTTTGTTACTGACAGACCTGCCAGAGGAGCTTCTATTACTGCAGTGTCATTTGTGGGGCAGTTTCTGCTCTAACAAGTTTTCAAATGCTGCTTAAGAGCAATAGACCTCATTCTATATGTCTGAAGGTGAGAGAAGAGATGGTTGCATCCCAGGAGCCTGATTTTGGAATGTTTTATGGAATTGGCTGAATAGCTTTTACTTCTAAGGTTTCTGTAGTCTGTCCATGGCAGGGCCAGCCTGTGCTTCAACTTGGAGCCCTCAGTCTGCAGGGAAATTAACCTTTGGGGAAGTTCTTACAGCTCTACTTAATGCTTTATGAATTATGCTGATTTTCTGGAAGTAGGCTGCCTATTCTGACCCATTTTCTTCTCTCTTCCTGAGGACTGTGCCTGCTGAAAGGCTGAGGTGAGACCAAGATCTCCGACTGTGTCTTCCTGAGGCTGAAGCCGTGTTTGCTGTCAATGATGACATAGTGGAAGATGCTAAAGACTGAAAACTTTGGGATTTTTGCCCTGAATGCCAAGACTCTCTCTGCAGCTGTGCCCTGTATGTCTCTTAAAAGAGTTTCTGGGTTTAGAAAGGTTTTACCATTCTGCAATATTTATCAATATTTATTACTCAATTAAAAAGAATCCTACTGCATCAATATGGTGCTAATGACTTTGTTGGAGTTGGTTAATTAAAGCAAATCATTGATAGGGGGTTTGAACATCCCTTGGTTGGAGCCGGCAGCTCTTATTCAATTTCTCCTCATTCCTTTAATTTCTTTCAATTGTTTCTTCACCAATCACTGCAATTAGGATACATGATAAGGATATCAACATATACATATATATATCTCAAAATATATAACAGCATTTCTGCCCTGCTCTGTTGGGAAATCCAAGCCCAATTCATTGGAGAGATTGAGGGGATGGGGAGCTGAGCCTTAGGCTGGGTTTTCACAGTGGGAGTTTGGTGAAGAAGAAAGAGGAGAGATACCCCCAAAAATAGTTAAGGCCAGTTCTGCTGGCTTTGGGTGCTCCTACCCCCAAAAAAATAATCCTGCTTAAAGAGGACTTGAAGAAGCAGTGGGATGTACCAGGGGGCCTGTGCTGGGGCCCCCAAAGCCTGGTCAGGGATGCTGGGAAGCATCAGCTTCAGAGGAACAATACAGAGGGGCTGTGCTGGGACCCCTCAAATTCCATCCAGACATGCTGGGCCCTGCTAGACCTTTGGGACACTACTGAGAGGCTCCACTGCCTGATGCAGAGAGTTTTCCCATTCGTTTCTGTCGTGCTTAGCACCTGGCAGGTCATTATAACCCCCCAGGTTGAAAAACCCATCGGAACAGCTGGAATCACAGACGATCACACAGACACCAGTTTGGGAGAGGAAATGAGCTGGTCCATAGATTTATTTTTCCCAATGCGTTTTGAATTTATACCAGAATCTCTCCTCTCCCCTCAGATCCCGTATCCTTGAGTTCTGAGTTTTCTCATACAGAATTTTCTGCCTACGCAGGAACAAAAGTTCCCTGACGCCGCAGGGAACGGCGAGGTTTGGGGGCTCCTGGGGCCTGCACGGGGGCTCCCCGCTGCGGGGCCGTGCCCGGAGCGCCGGCTGGAGCGGGAGCGGCAGCGCCGGGCTCGGCCCCGGGGCGCGTCCCGGAGCGGCTCCCGCCGCCCGCGGCGATGCCGCTCCCGATCTCGGCTCCGGTACAGCCCTGAGACCCGAATCCCGCATCCCGCCGGGGGCGAGGCGGCACCCCAGCGGACCCCCAGCGGACACCGACAGGACCCGAACCGGAGCCCCCGGTGGCATTCCCAGCCCCGCCCGAGCGCCCCGGGCTCCGCGCGGGGCCGGGAGCAGCCCCGGCTCGGCCCAGGGGGTGAGGGGCGGGACCGGCCCAGGTGTGAGGGGCGGGGGCCACGAGCGCTGGTCCCGCCCCCACCCCGGACAGGGCGGGGCGTCGGGGCGGAGCCGGGGCTCTGTCAGGCGGGGTCCGGAGGCGGACCGGGCGGTGTCGGGGAGGGGGGCTGGCTGAGGTGCTCGGGCCTCAGGGCGGCTGCACGGAGGTGATTTAATTCCCGGCAATCGTCTCGGCCGCCATTCGCTCACTGCGAGCACGGTGGGGAAGGTGTCCCTCCTTTCCGGGCTCCGCAGCCTGGGACAGATCGGGCTTTGGGTTCCCCTCCTCTACATACCCTCTACGCTTCCTTCCTCCTCCCCGTATTCCTACTCTTTCTCTCCCTTTCCCCCTTCCCCTCTCCTCACCAAAGTCGACCCCTTTCCCTCCCCTTTTGGCCTCCCCTCCTGTCTCCCCCTGAACCCTTTCTCCTCCCAGTATTCCGGTTCTTTCTTCCCAGAAACCTCTCCTCCTCTTCCCCCCAAACCCAGCCCCCCCCACTCCTTGCTCTCTCGTCCCTACCCCGCTACCGCCTTCTATTTCTCGTCTCCCTCTCCTCCCTCCACCCTCCTTCTTCCTCCCCACCCATCCTTTCTCTTCCCCTCCCGATTCCCTCCACACCCCAACACCCCTCCCTACTCCATCTCATCCCCTGCTATCCCTCCTCTATTCCCGTCCTCCCCACTCCTTCTTGCCCCCGTAGCGCGGGGCTTGGGGCGCTGGAGGGTGAAGGCCACAGTGCCGGAGCCTGGCGCCCCCCACTCTCCCCGCAAGCCCCCACACGGGGACTGGCCGTCTCGGCCGCTGTCCCCATACAGGTTAAAACACCGCCCGACGCTGCCGGACCTCCAGCTTTCCCCACAGGGGCACACCGATGACCGTGTTTGCTGCAACCCTGTTGAAATAAAGAAACCACTCTCTGTGGGATGACAGTTCCTGATCTTTCTGTACTAAGGATATCTTGGATATCCTGGGGTTGTGTTACTCTTCCTACATGTGGATGGCATGCTGAACATACTGCAGGATTATGTGAAATCCATAGCCAAAAACGATTTTCCATATGACCTATGGTCGGTGGGCACCAAGCACTCTCCTCAGCCATGCGTTGATCAATTACAAGTTCATTTTAGACTGTTTTCAGACTTTACTAAAGTGATTCAATCTACTTTAACTCTTTTTCAATTTTACTTTTAGGTCTCCTGGTGTCGAAATAATTTCCAGTCTTTATTTGGTATAGGTCCTTTTACCCGTGAAGCATGAGTCCAGCCTTTTTCTGCCGTTTGAACTGTGGTTTCTGTGGTTAAAAGAACAAGAAACGGTCCTGAATGAATGAATGAATGAAGTGAGATTCTAGACTTTCCAGTGTTTTATCAACACACGTTGTCCTGGTCGAATAGAATGTATCAGAAAGTTGAGGGGAGTTGTCCGAACTAAAATGCCTTTTTCCCTTAACTCTCTCAAATTTCTGGCAATGGTTGTAATGTATCCCTAGATAGTTTTGTCCCCGACTAGCGACTAGTGAGGGATTCGTCATCATTCCTTGAGGATAAGGCAGTCCATATGACATCTCATATGGTGAAATCCATGTTTCAGAATGGGGCTTTGGTTCTAATATTTAACAGGGCTAAGGGAAGACACCTGGTCCACGGCAATTTGGTTTCTATCATTAATTTAGTTAGTTGCTGTTTAATAGTTTGATTCATCCTTTCAACTCTTCCTGAGCTTTCAGGATGCCATGGGGTATGATATTCCCAAGTAATTCCTAATGCTTGACTTAAACTTTTGATTACCCCTGAGGTGAAGTGTGTACCCTGATCTGAATCAATAACTTGTACTAATCCAAATCTTGGAGTATGTTCCAACAAAATTTTTGCTACTGTTTGAGCTGGAGCTGGAGCTGCAGGATATGCTTCCACCCACTGAGTTAATTGATCTACTATAACTAATAGATACTTCCATCGGCCCACTCTGGGTAGTTCCATAAAATCAACTTGAATCTTTTCAAAAGACCTGTAGGCTGTCTGACAGCCTTCAGAAA